TCCTCTCCTCAGATGTTTTTTTTTTTTTTTTTTTCACTCTCGTTTTTGCGTTTGTTTTTTTCTCTTTCTTATGTTTTTTTTTTGTTTTGTTTTTTTGGAATATGTGCTTCTTTTCTCCCCTCTCGTCTGATTTTTTTTTTTCCCGCTTTTACTTTTTTTTGGGGGGGTGCTCTTTCCTATGTGTGCCTCTTTTGCCCCCTCTTCTCAGGTTTTTTTTTTTTTTTTTAATACGTTTTTTTAAATCTCTCTCTTACGTGTGCTTCTTTTCTCCCCTCTTCTCTGATGTTTTGTTTTTTTGGCTTTTACGTTTTTTTTGGGGGTTCTCTTTCCTATGTGTCTTTTCTCCCCTCTCCGTTTTTCAAAAGTGAGCCGGCCTTAAGGTATCATCATTGCTGCACTTATCGGCCCCGCTACTTCAAAATTATTTTCATCTGTTCAAAATTATTTTTATCTGTTCATCTGATTTGCATCTGGATTTGAACTCAGGTCTGTATTTCAACAGCTCATGAATGTACCAGCTGAAGTACTACCGTCTTCCCGCGAATGCAACGTACGGTCATTATATCTGTATTTGGGCTATCATTGAGCCTACATACAGGTATAATGACCGTACGTTGTATTTGGGGGAAGAAGGTAGGGTCTTTTGGTGACAAAACTAAGTAGGAAATGACAAAAGGACGGCAAGGTATATTGGTATTAATAATTTAATACCTAGGGTGGAGTTCTTTTTTTTTTTTTTTTTTAGCAATAAAGAGAGCCCCATTCTATTGGTGGTGAGCCCACTAGCAAAGAGGAATGATTTATTTTATTTTATGTTTTACTTTTTAAAAGAAAGAGTGCTCCATTGTCCTGAAATGTGGACACGCTCAAGGAAGGAGAGGTGAAGAAAATTATAAACTAGTGAAACTTGGGACTGAGGGGGAGAAAGGTGGGGGCGGTTTTTTTTTTTTTTTTTTTTTTAATTAGGGGGTGGGGGGTTGACAGACTGTGTTGTCGGACTTTAATGTTCTCTACTGTTGTACAATTTTGGTGAAAAGATTTCAAAAAAGTGCTTTTTCTAGGGTTGGAAATTTGTGATATACCCCTCAAAGATGCCATCTATGCCAAAACGCCCTTAAATGATTGTGGTAGAGCGGAATGCCCTCAAAGACTTTGCAGAAAACCCTTTTCATCGGTTGGACTGGTCATTTTGCAAAATACCCCTTGCAGTTACAGATCCAACTTTTAAAAATATCCTGTGGGTACCACATCATCTTTCTGAGGGCCCACATCATCTTTTCGATGTACACCCATAGCCGCTGGAGGGTGACAAAGGCCAGCAGAACATTCTCGTTGTATCTGGCGCTGTTTTTAATGGACCAGATACATTCGGACCGTGTGAAAGTTTTGAATGTATCTGGACCGTTTCCAATGCCTGATGGAATCAGAATGTAGTGCAGTTGAGTGAGTGACAACTGTTGCAAAACACACATGCCGATACAGACACACACACACACACACACACAGAGAGAGAGAGAGAGAGAGAGAGAGAGAGAGAGAGGATCGCATGTGTGTGTCAGTGCTGTACCCCCGTTCATGAACAGGGGTCTGTGAAGGCGGCCTGTTCAAGCGTACATCGTGGCTGTGCGGCTGTGTGAACGGCTTGGGGGGTGGGGGGGGCGCACAGACATGGGGCGTAACTTTCGAGGAAGGCCTCGATTTTTTTGGTGGAAATTTTTCGTTTTTTGGAAAATGAAAAAAAAACGTTTGTGTTTGTGTTTGTGTGTGTGTGCGTGTGCGTGTGTTGGTGCGCACGTGTTTTTTTTCTTTTTTTGGGGGAAAATTTTTCAATATGCCCCTGAAAGTTTGATTTATTTGTGGCGTGCCCCTCTGACAGCCAACTTACCTTGTTGTGCCCGTTTGACAACGATTGAAGTTTCCTAAAAGCCCCTGGCTTTGTTTGGGCCTGAAATATGTTCAATATGCCCCTACTGGTACGGTTGCAAATTTCCAGTATACCCCCTAGCTCCTCTCCCAGGGCTAGGGGAATGCCTGTATGTGCCACCAAACGGCCACAGGGGCATGCTGGAAAGTTGCGGCCCTCACTGACACGGGCCTGTAGGAAAGTTCAGAGGCCCCAAGGGCACCACAGGGTAAGTTGGCCGTTCGAGGGGTGCGCTGCAGGGGCAGATCGAAAATTTTCCCAACCGGATTCAGAAATTAAATCCAATCCTCTTTGCCGACGAGACCAGGGGCAAGGTCCCACTTGCCCAGTGATTAAGAGATTCTGGCCGTTGATCTTTGCTATCTACGGTCAATATCGCTTAATTCGTGTAAGTGGGACCTAGCCCCAGGCCCCAGACAAAGCCTCAATTCCGGTGGTTCTCTTACCACCACTGGGATAGAGGCCTTGCACAAGGGCCTTAAACCACTAGTACCTCCGCCAGTGTTGGGAAATTATGATGTTTTGCCAGTTCCTGAAGTTATCGGAGGTGGGACACAGGGTTGGCGCTGTCCCATAAATCAGATTTTTATATTGCCCGTGAGTGAAAGAAAAAGGAAAAAAGGAAAATACTATCTCTACTGCAATGATGTCCGGCAGGGCAGGCCGTGTCCTCCACAGAATGCACCTCACCCGTAAGGTGGTCACATTCTGGATGTTCCTGTTTTCTTCTTCCTCTTTTTTTTTTTGTTTTATGGAAAAGGCCCTTGCAA